TTATTTATTCCAATGTACTGGTGACATTACGTTCCTTTCAGTCTCAGTCTATAATATCAATATTTTATAGCTTTTATTTTTTATTATTATTATTATTTTTTTTGTCTGATTTGCGAAGCAGAGCCTCGCCCGGGCTATGCCCATGAGGGGAGCCCGGTTATAGCTTTTATTAATGTTATTATTGTTATCAACATAATAATTATTATTATTGTTCTTTATGTTGCTATCATTAATTAGTTTTATTATTACCAATATTACTAGTAGTAGTATTACTATTATTATTATCATTATTATTACTATTATTATCATATTTAAGATAATCTGAATTTTCGTCATGATATTATTATCGTCATTACCACACATTGTTATCACTATCATGATAATGATAATAATCACAGTGGTAATAAAAGTGATAATAATAATTATAATTAATAATAACAATAATATAATGATATAAAATAATAACTCTTTTAACTTTAAAGATCAACCTTTATGAGAACATTTAGTCCCGGAGAAAGTAAAATCATTGAGGGTACTTTATTTATTTAAGTATTTATTTATTACAGATGTCTTAATTTAAATCTTTGTGTGGAAAATACAGCTAAAAACGTCTAAACTGCCGACATAAAAATGTTTCAATTTGACTTTCTTTCTTGAGACTACATGGACGTTTTTATTTTTGTATTATGATGTACAGAAATGTATAATATATGTATATATATGGAACTGCAATATGGGTTATGATTTTAAAACATAATCGAACCCGGAAGTGTTGTTACAGTTAATACAGAATTCGATGATATTTTCAGTACGAAGTCATGGGCCCTATTATGTAAAGGACCTTCCTTACCTCCCGTGGGATCATAAGGACCTGATCTATTGAATTCTTATTACTATGGTTGCAGTATTGTTATTACTGTTATTGCTAGACTTTTTTACTTTCTCTCAATGAATAATTGCAGTATTTTTGGTACTATGATTGTAGCATCCGTTTAATGGATATTGATTACAGAATTGTTGTTACTCAGATTGCTATTATAGTTATGGCTGATCTTGCTTGTTATTGTTTCTATTCGTGGTTTTGTTGCAATGGCAGTGATTCTGTTGCTAAGTCTCAAGCAAAGATAGACATCCGAGCATCGACTTGCAGCATCACAACCAGGTAGGTCATCACAACACTAATCACCTGTGGGAAAAGGAGGGAGGGAGGGAGATGAGGAAAACAATGAGACAGAATGAACGAAATTAGACAAGACAAGAATGGGAGAATGAAAGGTACCATTCGAAGTGATTCATAGATTTTACCCTTTATAAGGCAAGGGATCATATAGGGAATTTCTTTTTTTTTCAATTATTATTATTTGTTCTAAGGAGAAATGAAAGGCAACGCTAAAATTCAGACCAGCATCGGTATCTGTAACATGAACCATCGTATTTCTATTGTTTGGCGAACTTACAGACAGAATGAGGGTTTTGTCCAGCGTGTACCAGCCACACATGCTGAAATAACGCAGTGGTTCGAGCATGTGTGACAGACGATTCATCTGTGGGGAACAATAAGTATTTTTAATGGAGGTCCATGATATATTTACTACGAATATCCCATTCCAGAAAGCGTGTTAGTTGGTTAATGGTTAAGACAAATAAATGTGTTAGAATCTACGGTCATATAGCACTAAAATGAAGTATTGTTGTGAAAAGGGTAAAAATTAATTAACAATTAGGATAAGTGGACAGAAGAAGGGGAGAAAGAAGAGAAGGAAATGCAAAGGAGAAGAAAAGACCTTGCAAACTTAATTGAGGCGAGGGCAGAGGTCCAAGGCAGAGGTGATCCCTGCCATTAGGCCTCAGTCCCCGTCTCCTACCCCCCCCCCCCCCCACGACAACAACAAGCAAGGGACTGGGGGAGGGTGTGTCCATGTGTTGGAATAATGTCTTTAATTTGACAAATGAATTATAAATACATTTGTTACATTTATATTTTTTCTTTCCCTATGGATGTATCTCTTAAGGAATTTAGGATTTATCTGATAATTTATCACTTACATCTGCTTTTATCTCGACATCGGTAGTCTCACAGGCGCGGTCTTTCAACATCTCGATTACTGTCGTAACCTGGCAAAAATTCCAATAATTTTTACAACAGAATATCCATATCAGGGGGAATTATTATTATTATTTTTTTTTTCTTTTTTTTTTTACTTGTATTCAGATAATTGAAGAGAGAACAAATTCGGACCTTGAACACTGACCATTGTGACACATAGAACGTTATGAATGAGAATGAATTCCTTTACAATGCAAGGTATGTATTCAGCGAGATTAGATCAAATCTTCATCAGAAATACATTCATCAAATACTTGAAGCTCAGATACATCTCTAGTGCCATTAAAAAAATAATCATTTTCATTCATACCTTTTTCAATAATCCTTACCTTGTTCTGAAAGTTCTGACCGACAGAGCACATTATAACGAGCATATAAACTATAGCTAGAATGCTAAAAGCCGTCGATCCACCGTTGGCACTGAGGGTGAGGAGCCTGTAGATCGTCCCCGTCAAGTACACCACGCAGTACAGCAGCCCGGACGTCAGGGCCTCGAAGAAGCAACTGGTCACATCCCCACGGAGTTTCTCCATCTTTTAAGCGATGGAAGAAACCCCACACATCACAAGGGTTAAAAATAAGAAATCGTATATCACTAACTACAGAATTATACAAACTAATTTTAAAGATTTTAAAGTGCTAATATGTAATAAAGTAAATATCTTAATATTCCATAGTGTATTATATTAATCCTCCATTGTGCTTTTAGTCAAGGAAGGCATATATGTGCGTGCGTATACTGTACATAAAGAAATGGATGTAGATACACTACCTGGCGAATATTGCGTTCAAGAGAGAACATCGTAGGCACTTCCTGGAATCTGGAACTGAAGTCCAGGCCAGGTCCCCGCGGTAACAGCGAGACCATTCCCTCCTTGACCACGTCCACGAGTCGCGTCGATAAGATAAAGGAAAGCGTCTCAAACAGAAGACAGCAGGACAGCAGACCAACGACATCTATCAGTGCATATACCAAGAGAACAGTGAACATGAGTGTGGAAAAGAAGGGAAGCATGTACACGAAGTACCATATACCCCACACGACGATGATGACCGCGTGTACGAGAAACGTGAGAAGGAGACTCGTACAAGAGAGGCTCTCGGTGCTCATAATCTGGGGGTCGTTGACTACGAGGTCGAGACACGCTGCCAGAACTGGACTCCTGAACAGCATAGCCAAATGCGTCAGATGCAAAGACAGAAAGCTGATAATCATGTAGATGTTGGCGATAATGACACCTACTTGGATTCTGTCTGAATCGTCGGGGGAAACGTAACTCATAACAATGCTAAAAATGACGCCAAAAAACTGTAGGATTTTGTTGCCGACTGCCCACATGCAGAGGCCGAGACTAAATTTCGGTCGGTAAGGAGGACCTGACCAGGTGTAAGGGAACGACCCGATGACCTGGAAAGTGGTAATAGTGATGCGCACAATCCATATGGTAACCTGGCTTTGCGACACAGAAGGACGCAAGGCCGACGGAAGGCGAAAGAGTTCCTTCAGCCCCATAGTAACGTCCTTAGGGGTTCCTGGATGGCCGGTGTGTCCCCTGCGAAGGCGGACTGGAAACTGGTGTCTAAGGGGCACACCCTTTGGAAGGAGGTGATGGACACCAGCCTGTGTATCGCTCCAGGCTCCATCAGCATTCATTGTGGATCAATTGGGATAATTGGGAATGTTAACTTATTCACGAGGATTGACAAGCGGTTCAGTTTTGTGAGAGCCCACTGTTTGTCTATCGAAAATTATTGTCTAATTTTCAGTTCACCTTAAGTGTGAGAGCCCACTGTTTGTCTATCGAAAATGATTGTCTAAGTTTCAGTTCCCCTCAAGTGTTATGGTACCAGAAAGTCTTGTGTAAACAAGAAAATGTGGCGACTATTTCACCATGTTAAGACTAAAAGCCTGGAGACAGACCATGAGTACAAGCTTATGCCACGTACACACGTGCCTAAAATACCCAAGAAAAACTGAAAACCTAGAAACCTGACACAGAAGCTCGAATTAGAAAGGGTGACCGGGTAACCTAACAGAGACACAATGGGACGACGAAAGAGAGAGCAACTCTTTCTAAAAACGAAGGTCAAGTGTGGTAGCAGTCGTACAAAAAACAAAGCAAAATGAAAAAAAAAAAGTTATCCATTCGTACACTAGATCGTGTGATCTTAATGTCTGTTATCTCTTGGAGGTTAGTGTAAGATGAACAACAGTTAAGGGTTACTAACTGCGTGACACGAGGTAGTGAAGTAATACCGCTATGGTAATCAGACCCACGATCAAATTACTCCTCGCAGTTTTATTGCATAATTTAGGTTTGTTATAGCTCTTTCCGTCCGAAAGACAAATTCAGCTGTCAATGAGCATACGTGCCTGTCACTGTCCACTGTCGAAAACGCTCGATATCAATATATAGCATAATTAAGCATGAACAGGAGATTATATCCGTTATTTAAGTGATAGTTATCAGTACTTCGTCACCATTGTCATTAATATTACATACACCTATTACTGTATCACCCATGTAACTCAATTTATCATTTACGGTTACCGTTCTTTCCTCTTTCTTCATGAAGGCCATCATTGTTATTCTTATTAATACAGTATCACTAGCATTTTTATTATTACTGACACCACTGATGATAGTATTTACATTCCCCGTGCTGTATCCTCGATTTTGTTTGTTTATAAAGAAAAAAAAATCTATCCTCACAGATAATTCTCCAAGTGGTGTTGACAAGGCTTGAAACACCGGACAGTTGCTGATCGATACCCCGATTGAACGTGTGCTCAGTTCACACAAGACATGCTCTCGCTGAGTTCGGTAACACGAACTTGGAGGATCATCCGAGGCATTTCTTATTATTAGCTAAGTTTAAAACCGTCGTAAAT